ATCAAAACACAGTATTAATTATACATTTTTTTTTTGGCAGATTGCATATAACCAAAGCTAGTAATTCAAACAAACACAAGTCCTGATAATTGATGTTATAACCTTTAAGATTAAGGCCTATCTACCGGTAAGTTAAACACGTTTTTGTAAGCAAAACATGATTAGTATGGAATATTTTAATTTAATATAAAGAATTAAAGATTTTGTATGTATGAAGAAAGCGCAGGCGATTTTGTCGTCCAGTAATGTTGGCAATGGCAGCAGGTCACAAGTGGAAACAAGAAACAAGAAACAAGAAGCGGGACCATGGTTTACACGGGTCCCACATAAAATGGGTACTCCGACGAATCACAACCGCACAGACTATTAAACTGACTACAATCAGACGGTGCAAGATAGACCACGTAAAAGCTGGCTCTGCCCGTTATCCTAATCCAGACAAGACAACAAACGAAATTGTCCAATTTGTAGAGAAATTCCGTAATTATTTTTTTCTCCCAAAACAATTACGTATTTATCTTTGCACTCATCAATTTTTATAAACATTTTTGTAATCATCATCGTTTCAAAAACAATATTTCTTAGATGTTTTAGCATGAAACTAAAATATGCGTCTTTGACAAATTGTAACGGGAAGAGGGTGCAACTAATTAACAATCTAACACAACTTCGTGATTAATGAAAAATACTATCATTTTTTTCTCTCTTGGAAAATTGTCGTTCCTTTTTCGCACGGAAATGTAATTTGCCTTTGTCCGCGGAGAATCTATCAGTCATTTGAAACAGAATAAATAACGTTCGATCTTATAAGTGAATAGTACCAACTATCTAGGTTAGCTTTAGAACAAGAAAAATGATGTTTAACGGTATTACTGTGTTAAGCATGTAGAATTGTGGCACCGTATCTATCACACAAGTTAAGCTTTGGAATGCTTATAAGCAAAGTGACCATTTATAAAGGCAGTTTATGTCATACAACAAAGAGACAATAACAAAATTTAACAGAGTAGAACCACCTGTTTGCATTTGATTGACCTTTTTCCTCATTTCTTAGCCGCCATTAACTTCTTGGGGATCTTGTCCAATGGTGTTGATTTGAGCAAGAACAGTCTTTCTGCTCTCTCTTTCAACGTTCCTCCACATTTCATTCCCTTGGATTCAAGCTCCTTTTTCAATCTCTCCATCCCAAGAACCTAATCAAGACATCAATAGGTGTTAGTGTTCAATGAGTCGAACACATTACAAACTTATTTGATTTGACTCTATGCACTTAACACTCATACCTCCATGTCCGATGCTGAACTGAAGTTTTCAAAGTTAAGCGGCTCATAAGATTTGCCAGAACCAACATTAGCAGAGTCTGCTTCGACGGGAAAGTCTGTCGTTGTGGTAGAATCACTACTCTCTTTAACATCTTCATTGTTTACTGAAACAATATTCTTGCCTTCTTCTCCCCTTAAAGCCTCCTTCTTTTCGGTTTGATTCACTATTGCCTCACTAGTATCCTCTGTAATTGGTATTTCTGAGCTTTCATGCACAATAGTGATGTCTTTCTCTTCCTCCGAACAGCTTCCAGACAAAGCTTTACTAGATGAACATCCATTTTGTGTTTCATTCATCACAGTGCCAGAGCTTACATTAACTTGGATTCCGTTGTCTAGAACAACAGATTTCTCATCCTCTTCGTCGTCACTGCTCTCATCATCACTGTCACTATCTACAATTGCTCTCTTCCCCTTCCTGCAACAATAATAGACAAAATCATCCAATAACAATGAGCAGAAGCATTGTATATCTCATGGAAATTGACATCTTAGAATCACAAAATCCAGTCTCAATCAATCAATCAACAACTTCAGAATCTTAACAAATTCGAAGTTTGATCATATACCCAAAATCCGTATCATACCAATTCTTCTATCTCAAGCACAAGCACCAATCGATCAAACTAGCTATCTACTAAATCGATCGGAAAAAGTAAACCATACCATATTTTCAGTCGTTTCGACTTTTCAGATTCAGCGATCATCTTCCCTTTCCTCTTTCCGTTTTGGAAAGATTCTTTCAAGGCGAGCTCCACGGCCACGATACACTTATCAGAATCTTCCCTATACTTGTTCACGTACTTCTGCGTCGCTCCATTTCCAGCTCCTTGTTTCACTTTCGTCGCTTGCTTCTTCAGAAACTCTTGCGCCACTCTCTCCAGCTTCCTCTCCTCTTCTCCCGCCTTCCACTCCTCTAATCTCTTCTCCGCATTCACATGTCTCAGTCTTCGTCCACTCATATCCCTACACGCATCGAAGTTGTTCGTCTTCTTCGCCCCAGCCTGAGTCGCCGCGCCACGAAGCAGCGATCCGAACCCTCCTTTGCCTCCACGGAGAGAGAGAACTAGATTCACGGTCGATTCAGGAATCGAAACCGCGGCACCGTCGGAGATCTGATAACCTCCGCATATCAGACGCTGTAGATGCGTCGGGATCCTCGTCTTCTCGAAGATTCGATGCTTGATCTCATGGCCATAAGCTGACGGAGAAGCGAAATTTATGGTTGTCGATTTTCCATCGAGTAGCCTCACGAACAACTGCAACGTCCTGGAGCTCTCATCCGCCATTGATAGAGAAACGTTTGAAGAACACGAATTCGATTTTGTTTGGATTGAATAAAACGACCTTCGATATTTTTGATGAGAAAAATCAGAGCGCAAAAGGGAAGTTAACAATTGGGCTTCTTTTTGGGCTTACCAGCCTCTTATGACGGTTTATGTGAAAACACATTTTATTTTATTTATTTACATACGTAGCGCACATTATTCAAAAATCAACATATGGTTTTTTTCTGTTAAATAAAACAACCTGATATACATACACATATACGAGTAGATATGTTTACCTGTGTGACAATTCAAATGTAAGAGATGAGAGATCTAAGGATCAATTGAATCGTTGGCGGTGAAATCAGGCTCGGTTGGTTTCTTAGGTAGCAGAGGAAGAGTGTAACGAGGAGGGAGGTTTGAGATATTGTGCCTCAAATTGTGGAGCGCGTTTGACGCGAAACGCGACGCGTATATTGTGGCTCCAAGGCTCAAGGACGATGAGGCGGCTTCAGCATCGCGTTTGCGTTCGCGTTCTCTGTCTTGACTAGCGAGCGCGTCTCGGAGACGGTCTTCTTCATCCCTTAACGACTTGGCTAACTTCCTCCGACAGTGTCTCCGCCACGCCGCTTGTATAAACGACGCTCCCCATGTTCTCCATTGCACCGAATAAAACCTGAGATTAGATTAAGTTCCGGTTTAGCCAATCCGAACTGAACAAAACCAGAGAAGTGTTGATCAGAGAGACCGAACCTGAAAGTATGTTGGAGCTGCTTGCTATGGAGGCGTCTGAATTGTGAAGCGACGGACTTGAGATCCTCTGCTGCAAGAGCAAAGGCTTCAACTTCCGTGAGAGCTTGAACAGTTCTCGTGGATATGGGAAAGTGAGACGAAGACTGAGGATCTAATGCCCACGTGAGAAGATCTTCGCCACAGAAATCACTTGCCTTAAGGTACACGGCATTGAAGAAGCCAGTTCGTCCTCCATTGGTGGTGGCACTTATAAGCCTTCCTCTCATCACAAACAGCATTTCCGCAACAGGATCTCCTTCACGGATCACGTAGCTGTTCTCTGTGTAGAGAACCGGTCTTAGCCTATCGCAAACAGCGTCAAGTAACTGCTCATCCATTATCTCAAACATAGGTACCTACCAGAAACAAACAAGCTTATAAAATTTGGATTCTGAGTGATAACTTAGACAACTATTGGTTCAGTTGATATATAGACAGCTTTTGCTACTTACTTTCTTGAGAAGTTCAAGGCAGAGATGGCGTTTAATGTCTCTTCTGAGGTCTTTAGGGAGGTTACGAAGAAGGGTTTCTTCTTCGACTCCTCTTGTCTCTTGCCATCTATACTGTTCATATCTTCTGATACGTTTCCTTAGATCTTCTGGTAACATCCTATGAGACATCCATTGCTCTGCATCTCTCTTCCTCACCCTCATTTCCTCCTCTCGGACTGTTGTTGATTCCAAGTATTTCTGCAAGAGCAAGCAGAAACAACAATGAGTTTCCTGACTTACAAGTCAAGTAAATGACGAGAACTCTTTGAGGTTTACCTGCATATTGCCGATAAGTAGCGCAAATAAGACTAGTCCTGAAATGCAAATTGATATAGCAAAGATGATTTCACCGACGAATTTGCTAGTTTGGAGATTTTGTCCCAAGGCACTGCATGATAGAAAAAGCAAATCATGAATTCTTTGAGCTGTGACAGTGTTTCAGATACATCTGCTATATGACTAACTACAAAGAGACATCACAATCTGGATAAAGCAAAGTGTTCAAGAATGTTTTTGTGTTTGTTTCAAACCTTAGATTTCGCAGACCCCACCAAAAGCAGTAGAAGAATTTCTTCCAGAAATCATGCGATTGAACAACACCACTCTTTAGAGCATCAGTGAAGATGCCAAAGTTGAAGACCGTTGAGTTATTGATATCCCCGGGGTCGAGAAACGGGCAAGAAGTGGTCAGGAAATCGTTTCTAACATTGTGATTTTCATCACAGTAGAGGAGTCTAATCTTACAGCCGTCATGTCTCTCGCACGCCTCTTGCCAGCATCTGTCTTCTCGTTCTACTGAGATTAAGTACCACAAAGCTCCAAACACCTGGATAAGTAAGTTCAACATTAAACTTAACCAAATCTCTGAATTGCCATTATTACACCAAATAAAGATTCAGTCACTCACATGACTGGCTAACATATATAGAGAGAGGTTCCAAGCAGCTCCAGCCCATGCAGTTTCAGTAACAATGCCAGATGTTCTCGTCACTTCGGTGTAAAGCGGATACATACGAAGAATCCGAGGAACATATTGAGCAATTACGACAAATTTAAGGTAGTCCTTTGTCAGCAATGAAACTGGCTTGTCCACGTTGGGAATAACAGCTAAGACTACTATCTGCAACAATAAGAAACAGAGGATTCAACCATATTAGAAAAAAAACAGAGGATTCATTGGCATTGTTTATAGAAGCAATCAAGAAGTCATTACAACACCTGTGGGAGAGGAAGGATGGAACATAAATCAATGATGAAGTAAGAAGAGAGGTACTTGATGGCTATTGATTTACCATCATCCACCAATTCACCTCTTCCGAAAACACGGGAAGAAGGAGAGATGTAAGCTGTCCGAAACTGAAACACAATGTGAACTATGTAAAAGGCATCGATGAGCGTACGAAACAAACTCGCGACTATCTCCAGTTTCGAGTCCAGAGTAAGACAATGCCTCACGCCATCGACGATGGGAATGTAGAAAAACAGAGGATCAATCGCCAGAGCAACCACACAAGCAAAAAGGAATATTTTGTTCCAGTTCTGTAGAAACAAACCCTGTGGGTTTATGATGTTCTTCTTTGTGATACTTGATGTTTCCTTCTGGACATGAGGATCTTTACTATGTGAACGGAAACTTAATGGCTTCTTGAAAATTTTGATTTTTCCTGAACCTTTCTCAAATCCCAGCTTTACATTTTTTAAAACTCTTTCTAAAGAAGGTCTTGCTTTTCTTTCACCACCATACTCTGAGGCTAATGATCTGTCTACGTCGTTGAACCTTTAAAAAATAAACATCAAATTTATATACTGGAACTGGAATATCATTCATCTATGTAGAGACAAGACTGTTTCAACAAAGAAAATGGAGAATCATTCATCTATGTAGCTAGAGACAAAGAATATTTCAAGTTTTCAACCAACCAACCTCACACGGTTGTCATGGCTGAATGCCATCAGCCAAATCTTGTTCAACTGATGTTTCGCTTACACTGTGACGTATCCTAAATTATAATAAGAACAAAGATTAAATCATACGAATTCTTCTTCATGGTTACGTACAAATAATGATAATCCCCAAAAGCAACTATACTATACTCTATACACCTAACATTATATATATATATATATATATATCTTCAAAGGTTAGTTTGAACTTAGATTTAGTCAATTTCCACCTAACCTCCTGACTACCAAAACCTATACTTCCTAGTTCCTACCCATTTCTTCGCAATAATTGGAAACCATACCAACTTGTAATCACTGTTCATCGAAGACAAGAAAGCTATGTATCAAAATAAACTGACCCCACGACCGTCAGATCTTGATGGGTTATGAAGAGAAAAGCATAAGAAACTAATTCAGACAGATTGATCTAATCGATTAAATTCTGAGAAACAGAACCAAAAGCAGAGGAAACAAGGAAACGTTAATCGGAATCAAAACTCTCATCATGTTATCTCCAAAACTTACCTAGAACGAAGTAACTGACGGCGAGAGAGTAAGATTCCTCGTATGAACAGAAACTAGAACTACCGAAGTTAGTCACCGAAATTTGTCTTCTTCTTGAAGCTCGCTACTGGTCCCGTCGCTAGAAAGTGAGACCCATGGCGGTTACTTGTATAGTTGTTTCTGTGTATTTTCCTGGAAAAAAATAGAGGAATTATCCGACAAAAGAGAGGGAAATGGAAATACATTGTGCAATAAAATAACTCAGGTCTTTTATTCAATTGAAAACATCCAAAAATAATTAAAAAACGATGACTTGGTCAAAGTCAAAACAGAAAGAGAAACAGCAAGTTGCCAATTTGAAGCATTGGGCTCATTAGGCCCATTTAGATCCATTTAGATCCATGACCCAAATTCAACCAACCGGCTCATCTCATGTTTCCTTATGTACTCCCCTCTCTCTCTCTCTCATTTATTTGTTTGTCTCACAAATCGGAAAACTACGAACGGCGTCGTCGTTTTCTTCCCGGAGTAGAGATCACCAGCGACGATTTTGTTGGTTTCCTAAAGGTATAATCCTCCTTCTATTGGATCCTTACTTTCGTATTTTGTCCTTTAGCCTTCTTCGAGCTTTTTTCTCTCTAGTTTCAGTAAAGGATTTTTAGATTTCCAACGTTTGTACGATTGGTTTGCTTTTCTCAAGCTTCCTTATTGACTGTGATTGAAATTGCTGTCTATATAGATAAGCTAGGGATTCTTCAATGCGTAGCACTGATTATATCCTGAGTTTGGGTAATTGATTTTGGAATCGAATGATTATTTGTTCACTGATTAGGTTTCTGTTCCATTTTCTGCCATTTCTCTGTTTGCATCATTGAGAACTAACTTGTATTCGTAAAATCTGGCACTATTGCAGGCAACACTAAGCGGAAAATTTCAATTGGGTGATTGTGTGTATACATAATCTCATCGAACAATGTCAGATTCTGGTGAGCCAAAAACATCTCAGCAAGAAGAATCTCAACCTGCTGGGCAAGAATCTCAGTCTCAACAAGGTACATATGCTTTCTCCTCTCTCAATTACCTAAAACAAATTCATTGCGGAGACTATAAAACACTGACCAATTTATTTATTTATTTATCATTGTTGTGTTTACAGTTTGCACTTTCTTCAAGAAGCCATCAAAAGCTAAGAACATTAGGAAAAGAACGGCTGATGCAGATGAAGAAGACGGAGATTCTAAAGGCGAAAGCTCTATATTAAACAACCTGAAGAAAGTTGCTAAGCCTGATAGCAAGTTGTATTTTTCCTCTGGGCCATCGAAGAGCTCTGCTACGACGAGTGAAGCTCCAGAGAAACCGGTCGTCTTTCACTACGACTCATCCAAGGAAATCCAGGTTCAAAACGACAGCAGAGCAACAGCGACTCTAGAAACCGAGACCGACTTCAATCAAGATGCAAGAGCTATCCGTGAGAGAGTTCTTAAACGAGCAGACGAAGCATTGAAAGGGAATAAAAAGAAGCCTTCAGATGAGAAGCTCTACACTGGGATTCATGGATATACAGATCACAAAGCTGGGTTTAGAAGAGAACAAACCATCTCGAGCGAGAAAGCTGGAGGCTCACACGGGCCATTGAGAGCTTCTGCACATATCAGAGTCTCCGCGAGATTCGATTACCAGCCTGATATTTGCAAGGATTACAAAGAGACCGGATACTGTGGATATGGAGACTCGTGTAAGTTCTTGCATGACCGTGGAGATTACAAACCTGGATGGCAGATAGAGAAAGAGTGGGACGAAGCAGAGAAAGTCAGGAAGAGGAATAAGGCGATGGGAGTTGAAGATGAAGATGATGATGACGCTGACAAGGATAGCGACGAAGACGACGACGCGTTGCCTTTTGCTTGCTTCATCTGCAGAGAGCCCTTCGTCGATCCGGTAGTCACGAAATGCAAGCACTACTTCTGCGAGCATTGCGCTTTAAAGGTATGACTATGATGAATCTGATTTAATCTCAGTTATGAATTATGATTATGTGTTTTGGTCTGTGGAACTAAAAGTTTTGTTTTGTGTAATGATGCAGCACCACACGAAGAACAAGAAGTGCTTCGTGTGTAACCAACCAACTCTGGGGCTTTTCAATGCAGCACATGAGATCAAGAAGAGAATGGCTGAAGAACGTAGTAAAGCTCAAGGACTGTGAAGTTTTTGTTTGTAATTTTTGTACTCTTTTGTTTACGACGAGACTTATTCTGTAGTAAAAGTAAAACTAATTCGAGCTTAATTAAAACTTTCCGGTGTCCCATTAGCGTTGAAACATGAAACATGGCCATGCCAGTAATCTCAAGTGTCTTCCGCAATGTTGCTTTGGAACCGATCATGTTTAAAAGTTTCACAATATCAATCTAAACGGGTGACGTAATGTAGGCAGCACAAATGGGCTCTATATGGCCCAACAATAATATTACATTGAAACGACGCTGTGCTTTGCGTTTATCCAACCAAAAAAACCAAGTCCATTTCTTTTCCGAGTTGTCTGGCTTAAAAAAATCAAACCATTTGTGAGTTGTGAAGCAAATCGATTTGAAAATCAAAAAATTTAGGTGGAGCGGGAAAACAAATCCACTCCCGCTTTCAAGTGTTTTTCCATGTCCAGTAATCTCTCACCAGGTGAATTCCTTAACCGCAGTTTTCGTTTTTCTTCAGATTTCTCTTTCGTTTTCTTACGATTCCGTTGACGACGGTGCAGTGACTAATGGCGAGAACCAAGCATTTCGCTTCCAGGGCACGAGATCGCAATCCAACTGGTACTATATCTGCTTTCTCTTCCAATTGCTTTTAATTTCTACCCGGGATTTTTCAGGCTTCGTGTTTTATTTTCCGGCTGGTTAACCCTAATTTCGCATCTGAAATTTGTAGATGCCACCGCTTCATCTTCGCCGGCGGCAGGTCCGAGTACGGTACGACGTCTTTTCCGTTTAAGGTTTTCGAATGCAAATTTTGCTTATCTCGTATTTGTTTCTGACGAATTTGTGCATCTATCGAAATGTTAGACCCCAGCGAGAAGGGGGACTCAAGCTGAAGGTGGAGATGATGCCCAACGAAGTGAGTATTAACGGGTTTTTAGATCCTTTTGTGTGTTTCGTTTCTCTTGTGCTGTGTGTGAACTTTCTCCTTTGTGACCATATTGCAGCAACTCCTGCAACTTCACCGGCTACTGGTAGAAAAGTAAGATTTCACCGTTGCTTGTAAAGGAGATTGAAATTGGATCTTCGTAAACGCTAATCTTTGTTTCTCGTTTTGTTTGTGAAGAAAGGGGCTAAGAAAAGTAAACAGGCTGTGCCACAAAGTGAGTGAATAATCTTTATTGATAATCCATGGGGAAGAATCTTATTGCATTTGAATCTTATATTTGTCTTGTGTCCTGATAGGTTCGAACAAGAAGCCTTACCGTTACAGGCCAGGAACTGTTGCTCTGAGAGAGATTCGCCGATTCCAGAAGAGCACTGAACTTCTAATCCCAGCTGCTCCTTTTATTAGAACAGTAAGCTTCTCGTTTTTCTCTCTTCCTTTTGCGTCCAGCCATAATTCAACAGAGAAGCCAGCTTTTTGGTGTTTGATTTGGATTTCGTTGCTACTTCTATAAGAGAACTTGGTTATTCATAATCCTTCTACTGGTTTTGTCTCAAACGTAAATGCAAGTGAACATACTTTTTGACTACAATTCAGAGCAACCATTTAAGGAGCTTGTAGAATCTAATTTGTCTTTGAGGTTACTGGTTCATAGATCTCAGAAACAATATAGTTTCTGTAAACTACAATACTAAAGCTGTTGAAGTACTTGAGTCTATATAGTACGGTTAACATGAACCAAGAGTGATATGGAAATGCCAAATTTGTTATACCAGGTGAGAGAAGTAACCCAAGCTTGTGCCCCTCCGGGAATTCGTTGGACAGCTGAAGCTCTTGTGGCTCTTCAAGAGGTTCCAATCCTTCAACTTTCTTTTTCTTTTCTTGATATGAATGTATGAATGGTGACATTTTTCCCTTGATGCCTAAATGAAACTATGCGTGAATTCTTTTGGGGCAGGCGGCAGAAGATTACTTAGTTGGGTTGTTCTCTGATTCAATGCTCTGTGCTATTCATGCAAAACGTGTTACTCTACGTAAGTGCTCCAAAAGAAGTCTAAATCTTAGGAATCACACTCATGCTTCTGCTCCAATACTTGCTTGATGATTATCATATATATATATATATATATAGTATGCTCATCCGCATCTGTTACTGGTCATATCAGTGAGAAAAGATTTTGAGCTTGCACGCCGGCTTGGAGGGAAAGGCAGACCATGGTGACAGAAACTCACCCAGTATTCACATCTCTTACATTGTAAGTGAGGATCCGCTAGTTAGCCAAAAATGTGTTGCAGATTATTGACTGCTTTTGTCTTTGTTATGCTTGTCCTTTTTTAGACTTCATCATCTGACTTAAACTTTCTTTTTAAGCATAACTGGAAACCCGAATTAGATTGTAAAACTTCTTAATTTATGTTCCTTTCTTATCTCTTTTCCTTGGTATTGATAGTTTTCCATTGAGATTTCACCTTGAACAAAACGGTCTTTAAAAGGGCTGCGATTGTTACAACATAAAATTTAGAGGAAGATCTGTAAGAAAATGTTTTTATAGGCCTTAATAGAAATACTTTCTGGCAGCCCGGGCTAATGGATTCCCAATTTCAACTTTTCAAGGCATATTAAAAAGTTTTAAGATATCCTTAGCATTTCAAATTTTATAATTCATATACTTCTGGCCTTGTGATTATTCGAATAAAACATTTGTGATTTCATAGTGTTGACATCAAGCACATAAGTTGAGTAAAGCTCGTATTTATTTCATTGTGAATGCTTTATGTATACAGTATTTTCTTTTGCCAAGCTTCATAAGTTATCTTCCTTTTGCCAGTTTCCTTTCTATTTTTAACATACATTATGATTTCTTTGTATTCGTACAAAAATCAGTGCAAACCAGAAAAAAATACAATATCATCGAGAACGAAAAATAACTTTTGTTTTTTGCTTCTATATATAAAAACTGGATGCCATGAATCATGCCATGGTCCCAACAAAATACATTTAAAAAGTCCACGTGTAATGTTCAGTTGCAACTGCATAGTTTGTTCAGTACTTTACTCAACTTTTTTCGAAAGTAAATAAAGAACAAACCGAACCCAATTAAAAGAAGCGGAGAATAAAATTGCGATGTGAATAATGGGAATTGAGGGAATATCCCCAACGCTAAAATTAATTTTAAATTCAACGCTAACAAACTTTCAACTCTCCTTTTGATAGCTCTAACAATATTTTTTCATTAAATTGGGTATTTAATTCAAATGAAAGCAAAAATGTAATCGACTGAAATTCATAAATTTCGGTTGAAAGTGATTCTCCTACATTCCTAATGCATAGCAGCAAAGCAAATGATGGGATGAGCTTAATAAAATTATTTATTTGCGTAAAAAACATCAACCCAAGGCAAGTAGTAACAATTTTAAAAGCAATTACACAAAAACATGACGGAGTAAATGATGTAATGAAACATGTCTAATGTGATTCCTATTGGTTCACAACAAAATCCCTCAAGCATTACATACATACTGGCATAACACTGCCACCCATAATCTGCAAACTAATTAATTAATGAGAACAATATTTAAGATTCTTTGTTTTTTATAAACTAGTAGTAATAGTTTAGTTAAATCGGATTAAGGGAAATAAAGTACAGTACTACAATACATAAATCCTTAATGTGGAAACCGACCAAACCGGTCGTTAAAACTTGACACTATAAATAGAGAAGAGGGTTCTTGTTCTTCCCATAACAATCCACCACTATCTCTCTCTCTCTAGTCTCTACCTTAAAATCGTACCAAACCGTATTAATTCATAAGCTCGCACGGTACGATCGTAAATCTAGAAATAGTACGGTGTCGTTTCAGATGGATAAGCAGCGTAAGTCGAAGCATCCCAAGACTAATGCCACCATTGTTGCCTCTTCTTCTGAAGGTATTTAATATTTTCAGACATCTCCAAAATACGGCGCCGTTTTGTATTTTTCCTTTTTAATTTCATTTTTGATAAATGTGAAAATTTGGATGATGACGTGGATCAGAAGTGAGCAGTCTTGAGTGGGAAGAAATAGCAATGACTCAAGAAGAAGAGGATTTGATTTGCAGAATGTATAAGCTTGTCGGTGAAAGGTTTTCATTCATTCCCTTCTTTCTCAAATTATATCTATTTGTTGGGTCAATTTTAAAATAAATGGTTTTAAAAGGGGAATTAAAGTTTTTTTTTTTTTTTCATTTTGGGTTGGTTATGAAGGTGGGAATTAATAGCCGGGAGGGTTCCAGGAAGAACAGCAGACGAGATCGAGAGGTTTTGGGTGATGAAGAATCATCGAAGATCTCAATTACGTTGATTGTAAACTCTTGTCATTCTTTTTATAATAATGAACAAAAAAATGAAATGTATACAAATTACATAAATCCTCTATTCGTTGGTAATTCTGCAGTTTTGTTCGCGTGTTTGAAGTTGTTGTATCCGGGATTTCATTATTGCGTTTCTTTAACTCTTAAGCCATATCTTAATTACAAAGTCACGTAAAAATTGTAGTATATGTAAATTTCCGGTAATTTTAGATTCTTCAAATTTGAACCTCCGAGTTGTGGCGAAGCACTTTTAGTCGTCCTCGTTTTGAGAGCTTCACACGGATAGGCGAAAAAAAAAGTATAAAATTCATTTTCGACAGAAACAGACGTAAACCGACGTATTAGGCCCTAGTCAAAATATAAGCCCAACAGCTATAAACATTAAAGACTAAGCTTGGTTTGTAACGTGCCTTTGCACTCTCATTTTCTGCTCTTGCGTCACTGTTTAAGCTCTGATTTTCTGCTCTTGTGTCATGTTTGACCTCTAGGAAGGGACATGAGCGTTTTGGATGATATTTGTTGAGAAAGCAGAGGAAAATCTCATTCTTATAGTGTTAGTTGTGATATTTGGCTGGTTCTTGGACATTCTGATCGTAGTAACATTGAGATTGACTATGGGTCGAAGATGAGCGTTTCTGATCTTGTTATTGGATAGTCTTGCGTCAATAGCCTTAAGATAGTCTTGTGCATAGGCGTCATGTGCTTGCTCCATAAGATCCTTGCACCATGGCCCATGCAATTATATGTTAAAACAACATGTTTATAAAAATATCTTCGTCAACTCGCTACAAAATCATGTTTTTTTTAATATGTTAAAAGGACATTTGTGTAATGTTTTTTTAAGCCGGCCGTGTGCAAGACGAGTACAACACACAAAAAAAAAAGGTGATTATTTGATTCTTTAAGTCTTCCTGGTGATGGTGATTGAATCGGATTTTGCAAATGATAAAAAACATTACGCAAGGAGACTGATGTTGATTCTTGAGAAAATACCGAGTCCAAGCCTGTTTTTAGGATTCTCCTTTGGCATTTCGTGATCCTTTTTCTCCATCGTCGTTTCAAGATCACACGATATCAACACAATACTTTTGTACCCTATCATGATGAGATTCACTGAGATTGTGACTCATGAACGAGGTTGTGATGTCATAAACGTTTGCAACATCCATCATAAGAAACTATTTTACCATGTCATGTTCAGTCACACGCTAACCTTAGCGGAAAAGGGTTGCACCATGCTCAAGGAAGTGATAACGATAACTGATGATTTCTTCAAAGGTGGATTCCTTGACCTAATCTCAGAGGAAGCTTACTCGCTAACCACGTGGGATTTAGGAAATAGTTTAGTGTTGAATACTTTGGTTGTGTTGTTAAGAAGTTGAAGCCTTCTCTTGACAAAATGTGTGGGACTCTCGGAGGGAGAAAGCATTGCTTCTATCATCGATTTAGAAGAGACAGGGACGGTTAAGGATCGGATTGTGTCACAAGAACTGCTTAAAAATTAGGGTCAGATAACAATTTATTATTTGTTTGTCGTGACTGCACCAGCATATAATACGTAAACTAAAGCATCTAATCATTTAGGTAGCACAATTAAATGAGTCAAAACATAAGAAACATATATTGGCCAAGTAAATAAAAAGACAAAACTGCTACTTATAGGATCGTGTCTTGTTCGATCTCTCGTTAGTAATGGTGAGCTTTCCACTTTAAGGAAACTTGAGTGAGTGCCTTTGTAGAGGTCCCATCTTCTTTAAACACTCTAACACTTGCTTCTTCCAACTCTTTTATTTTAGTCCTTATCGCTTTCCCTTCTTCTCCTTCCATCAATGCCTTAACCACTTTCACCACTTCTTCCTTTCCTATGATCCCATCTTCTTCCCCGTTGTTTCGCGCTCTTAGAGCCACCCCAACATATTCCGCAAGCAGCAACGCGTTGGTCTTTTGCTCTGCGTATAAAGGCCACGCTATGAGCGGCACACCGTTTACGATGCTTTCAAGACTCGAATTCCACCCACAATGTGTTAGAAATCCACCTGTGGATGGATGGGCCAGGATTTGGACCTGTGGGGCCCAATACGGAACCACCAACCCTTTTTCCTTGGTTCGGTCCAAAAACCCATCTGGCAAGAAAGTCAACGGATCGGTTTGGCTGTGTGAGTTGAAATATGAAGAATTAGCTACTCCGCTCGGACTTCGGATGACCCAAATAAACCGTCTCTCGCTCTCCGCTAGACCGAAAGCGAGCTCATTGAGCTGCTCACGCGTGAGTGTCCCGCCGCTTCCGAATGATACGTATAGAACTGAGCCGAGTGGTTGGTTGTCCAGCCAGTTTAAACATTCAGAGTCAGACTCATCGTTCCGGTTAGCATAAATTGACTCTGTGTTAACCAACGGTCCAATCGGGTAAACCGGTGGTTTATCAGGAGAGGGTTCTTGTAAAACCTTTATAGCGTTTGGCTCTAAATCGACGAAAGAATTCAGTAGAATCCCTTTGGCTTCTTTGAACCTCTTGGCGTGGTGAAGAAGCCACTTATATGCGTCGTCGTTTCGTTCCTGACAAGGATCGGAAAAATCCTTACCGGTCATCGGGATACAACCGGGAATGTCAACCGGTACCGTTAAGTCCCGAAACTGGCACGACACCGTTTCGTCTAGTTTCGGCAAGTGAAGCAAGAACGATAAGACGTTGGCATTTGATGTGTGGAAGACGTACGGTGACACGTGGAACTCGACGGCCACGTCGAATGCATCCGTACCAAATAGATCGACGACGAGAACCGCCGGGAGACGTTTCTCCGAGGACCACGAGCTGAAAAGCTCCCGGAGCGCTGGGATAGAGCGAGTCACGGTGAGGGAGATCCGAGTTTCGATTCCCGCGGTAGAGGGAAGGTCGGAGAGATCGACGGTAGGAAGGTATACGGAGGCTATGGAGGTAGGGAGAGAGTTGAGAACGGATGTTTGGGCACTAGACGGCGATGATTCTCCGGAGAAGATGAATGTTACGGTGAAACGGTGGTGGTCAACGAGTTGCTTTGCGAACTCAACGAGTGGAATTATGTGACCCACACCAGGACTCGGTATGATTGCTATGTGTGGAATGTTTGCCTCCGCCATTAAAGCAAGATTCAAGAATGTGAAATCAAGAATATATTGTCTTTTTTATTTGTGCATGTGTTTATTTCTACGGTACCTACTTATATAGAGCATGCCCGTCGTCAGAAATCTGTACAAGTAGATAGAGAGAGTGAGGTTGTGGAGTTGGTAGAAATCAAATCTTTATGTTGCTAACACGATGGAATTTTGGTGTGTAGTAAAGAAATTAAATGAGGACAAAAACTAAAGTATACATACGTGATGATGGCCGACAACAAAATCACACAATATATAAAACAAAACTTTTTTTTATATATGATGACTTACTTTTTGGCATGTGCAATGGAAATACTTTAATCAAAAATTTATTCAATAAAAAAAAAGTTAATTTTCTGAAACATTGCATCTGAAGTGTGGTTAACAAAAATGTGTATATTTTGAGACTGAACTGGCATCCCATAATGTGTATATATGTGTACAATACACAAAAGACCCAAAGCAGCAAGATAGCGACGGCTGAGGAGGTAAAACGGCACGGCGTCTTGTTCCCGCACAAAGAACGACACGGGCTTGTAGTTGGAGCCTTGTCAAGCCCAACATTAAAATTAATTGGCTTTTAAAAGGAAATAACTACACAAAATTATCTAAAAATTGAGGCTATTCAAGTCTTTTCATTTGTACATATTCCGGTTGAGCATCACCTCCACCATTAGATCGTTCCATGAATCAATCGGACCGGGCAAGCACCAGTGAAGACAATCGTTCTGAATCTGGATCGGATGCCGATTCCGGTCCTTGTTCTTCATCCCAGCGAAAGGATTTGGATACCTGTACGGCCCGGGATGCCCATCTGGTCGGAGAAGCGACATTGAAGTTGTGTCAAGCAATCCAATGTTGGAACTGGAACCTTCTCGGATTTTACGGAACTCCTCGATCTCGATATCACGCATCGATTCGTCTTCGCTCTTCAACTCTCCTTCGCTTTCCTTAAACGGCATCGTTCTGTTACAGAAACCACCACTGTTCCACTCTCCGTTCTCGAAATGGTCAGGTGTTGTTGTCCTCAACAGAACCTGAGCTTTATGGTTTGGCTCGGCGACAAAGTCTAGAACCAAACGGAGAGCTTTTCGGTACGAGTATTGGTAGCCGAGCTCGGTGAGATTGTTCTTTCCCTGGCAGTAATGACATCCTGTGACGGTGTTGTTCTCGTGGAAGATTGATGTTTTGAGGAACCATTTACCACCGGAGATGACAACGTAGTCGAAATTGATGTATTGGTCTGTCCAATTCTGGTCGAGCTCGTCGAGATGGAGCTGAATGTCGGAGAAGGAAACGCCTTCGATGTTCTCGAAAGTCTCGGATTTTAAAAGGAAAGGAGACCAAATGACGGAGAGAGTGAAGTTGTGAGAAGGGAATCTCCATATCTTTGATCTGTATTCCTTGTCGTGGTAGATTTCCTCTACCTCCTCTACCTGCAAAATCAACAAACTTTGACATGAGGTCGAATTTTGGATTTCACGGAATCAGATTAGAGAGAGAAGAAATTGACCAGAGAGAGAATGCAGATGAGGGATTGGACATGGTTACGAGAGATGGAATCGCCGATGAAAGCCCACCATTTGTTCCTCATTCTGTCGAGGAATTGGTGAGGGTTAAACCTGGGGAGATCGCAATCGCGAGGTTTCCATCTCCAGAGAAGGTAATTCGCATCTGGGCGTCCGTTCTTCAGGCAATTCTGGTGATCTTGGATGTGACGGCAAGAGACATTGGTGTAGACTGGACCTGACGGGTCTGGTACCCAATTCCCGCTAAAGATATCACACTTTGTGGAAGCTACAATTGTATTGTTCACACACACAAAGATTTAATCAAACACTTGTGGAGAAAAAAATCCATTTTTTTGTGTGGATTCCTGGAATAGCTAGGTACTACTGATGATTGACAAAGATCTCTTACCATTTTGTGAAGCAATAATGGTGATGTTTCCTGGGGAATCAAGGGAGGATGGAGCTTGAGCAACGGCAGTGAGACCGGAAGGATCCGCCGGGAGAGATTCAGGCGAGGATCGAACGTGGGGGACCGGAGAGACGGGGGAATAGGTGACGATAAAACGGTAAGTGAGACCGATGAGAAGGAAGAAAGCGACGAATTTGAGGAATATTTGATTGCGTTGGTGAGGGGAACCAAATGGGTTTCCTTCGATCTTCATACTCTTAGACAGTAATGATCTCAATGTATCCATGGGAATCAGAGAGAGAGATGTAAACAGATCAGTGAGTTTTGGAGGGTACTGATTTGTTTCTGTTTAGCTTTTTTTTCTTTGGAGGTTTTTGGTTGTCATTGAAAGCGATGCTCTTCATGCTAAATGACAGAGTGGATTTTCTTTTTCCTTTTTTTCTGATTCTTTTTTTCGTGAATCCACAGTCAAAAATTATTTAACAATTAAACTAGACAATTATTCGTTTTCTTTTGTTATGCCGTCGGTCGTAGGCTTAAGTACGATTTGCAGGTTTGCGGAGAGATTCAAACAATATAAAAAAAAAGTAATTATTTTTAAAGATATGCTTGCAAGGCAAATCATCTTATTTGTCTCTTTACGCATGATTAAGCCACTGATACGGAGACATGATAGTAATTGAAAAATGCTACAACACAGAGACAAGTGAGTCTGAATTACAATTAATATTATTACTACACACGTTTGTCCGATGGTACATATAATCGTGCGAGGACAAATATATTTCATCTACAAGAGATAGAAGACTTGACGCCTTAGATTAGATCTGATGGTTGTGAGTTGCATAACTTGCAACCTAAAACTCGATTTATTATGCTTACAAATTTAAAGGTTAAGCCAGTTATAAATCCAATCAGCCGCTTACTGTACTCTAATAGCTACATCTATGCAGGCCCGGCCCAAACATCTTTTAGTTCATATGCAGAATTAATTAAATTGTGGCTAAATATGGTGCTTCTAAATATTTTGAACATTTTTTGCTATATTTTTAAATTTCAGGACCTTAAATCATAAGTAATTTTTGTCAAAAAAACATGGATACAGTGCAAATGCACTCCCAGCCCATGCTTAGGGCCGGGCCTGCATCTATGGTTATACATGTAACATGTTATAGTTTTAGCAATTCCTTCTCCAAAAACTTGTTTGTGCTGAATAATTATTTGTGTTTGTTTTAAATTATCTCATTAAATAGATCAACTCGCAAAGAATTTATGCATGGAGTGACACACTCCACACCTTATGGACCATACTAAATAAATGTTGTGTAGATGTTGGACCCATCTCCCATGGATTTGACAGAAACATACATTCATACTAGCTTACTTAACTTCTTCATGCATTATTGCGATCCACAACAACCAAATATTATTTCATTCATTCACCACAAGAGATTATCCACAATACAAAGATAAATGATCAATTTACGTAGTCTAGATCACAAGAAAACCAGATCCTGAGAAGGTTACCAACTCGAGATCGGCTTTTGAGCTGGGGAATGAATGTCCCTGAAGAGTGCCCGCTATGTATTTCTCACCAAGAATCTCATGACTACCTCTTCTTTGAGTGCCCGCTTTCTCAGGAACTCTGGCATTTCTTTGCATCGCGAATTTCCGGGCAAGACTCAACAACTGCTGTTTCCATCCATTCTGGACACCATACTGCTTCCTCCGATTTCTACCTCGGCGCACACCACCACGCTGATGAGGTTGCTGCTACAAGTCACGGTCTACGCTCTGTGGAGAGAGTGGAATGCAAAGATTTTTACCACAACGACCACGCCAATACACGCCTTGAAGGGTGTAGTGGACCGCACGATTCGAGATCGACTCCTTTCCTTCCCTTCGCTGGATGGCACTCCTTCTCTTCTAGAATCATATTTTGCTTGTATCTCATATCCGTTATGATAAACTTTGGTCTGTTCCACATGTGTGGGGTAAGTTTTTAGGTAAGTTTCTTTTATCAGCTTGTAAATATTGTAACTTTTTACTTTTGGTATAAATCTTAACATGGAAAACCAAAAAAAAAAAAAAAAAAAAAGAAAACCAGATCGAAAATCACAAAACCAGTTTGTAAGAAAACAAACAAACAATGGAACTAATAAACAAAACTCCCCAAAGCTGAAAGGAACATCTCTTCTACCTCCTCTGCAGTGAAAGCTTCTGTTGACAGGAACATCTCCCTTCCTCCCCCAGCTGGATCCTCCTCTTCCTCCTTGAATTTATATTGGTTGTATTAATTTATTTTCCTAATTTTCACGTTTGTAAATCCTCTCCATAAATTATTCTTGTGTAATAAAACTCGGAAAATGGTATAAATCTTAACATTTAGACAAAAACAAAATTCCAAAAACCACAAAAAAAACAAAACAAGTTATACATGGTCGGAAAAGATTATTAGAGTTTATCATTTTCTATTTATATTTCCAAAAAATATATGAAATTAAAAATATTATCAATGGATTATTGGGGGTTAAGATATTTCAAAACTAAGGACAAAAAAATAACACAAGAGTTTTTATGGGGAAAAGGGTTTAGGGTTTTAGGGCGAATTAGGTTTTAGGGCGGATTAGGTTTTAGGGTAAATTAGGTTTTAGGGCAAAAACCTAATCGCCCTAAAACCTAATTTACCCTAAAACCTTATTTACCCTAAAACCTAATTCGCCCTAAAACCTTGTTTACCCTATAACCCTTATCTCCCCTAAAGTCCACCCTAAACCCTAAACAAATTGTAATAAAACAGATAAGTCCTCTCCTCTACATATTACACAGTGATGATGATCATACTAACTTACTTTATCTTCATGCATTATTTGTGATCCACAACAACCAAATATTATGTCATTCATTCACCACAAGAGATTATCCACATTCCACAATACAAAGAGAAATGGTCAATTTACATAATCCAGATCACAAGAAAACCAGATGGTTAACTTTATCCAGATCGAAAATCACACACCTGTTTTGTTTGCTACAAAAAAGTAAGAGACAAACAAATAGTGGAATACTAATAAAACAAAACCCCACAAAGAACAGAAAAGCACACAAGGTTTTGGTCAGATTATAGAATCAATGATGATGTGTTATATAAAGTACAATATACATTCTAGTTAAATAACCAAGATTGGAACCTGAGGCTGAATCAAGCTGATGAAGCTAGTGACCTTGGAACTCTCATGCCAAATCCATGCTTGACCTTCTCAATCCTGAATTTCAATAGACAATACTCAGAATCAACTAAAGATGAATCTAAAAAACTTACATTTACAAAGAATAGTTGTGCTTACGTTGGAGCTAATTTGCCAAGACTCTTAAGCTCTTCACCAGAGTCTCCATCAAGAACTCTTCCTGCTATATCAACGATGTAAGAACGGTTCTTGTCTCGAGGAAGACCTCTACGTGAAAGCAACTCAAGATCTCTCTCGTGAAGCTCTCTTCCGTTCACAAACACTCCCGAGTTTCCTGCACCGCAGTTATCCGGCATTGGACGACTGAACTCTTCGATAAACGGCTGCATGCATCAAACCAACAATTGTTCCTCATTTCTTCATCAAATACCAATACAAATATACAAGGCAAAACAGAGAATCCGGAATCGAATGTTAAAACAGAAGAATTGTGAAGCTTCTTACCGGTATGATACCGAGACAAGGGTTTCCCATTACTCCCCAGAATCCAGCACGGTAATCATACCTAATCAGAAACATTGTAGAAAGATGAATTCATTCTCTAACGCCTGATCATTCTTGTTTTGGTCAAATTGTAAGTTATAACGAAAAACCAAAAACATACCAGTACTTGCCAGCTTGAACAGGTCCAGCTTGTTTCTCGGCGCTGATAACCAGATCTTCCGGTATTAGATGCCCATTCACCCAAACCTCTAACTGCTCGATAGTTTCATTTGTGACCTCCGAATAATTGTAATCACTACTCTCCTTTCGGTTTCTTGGTCTGCTCTCTTCTTTACTGCCTTTTGAGACCCTTGAAACTTCTTCAGACACCTCAGTGTTATTATAGTACCCATTGTAAGAAATATCTGCCTCAGTAGCTACTGATTCTGCTTTCAACGAGTCTTGTTTCACGTATGACTCTTGCTTATGGTACCCTAGCTGCGCCATTCCGTAAGTGATTGCAGCTCGGTTTACATTAGAATACTCAAAGAGCTCAAGAAGATTGGAGTTTTCAGGAGGAGCAGCACGAGGACCAGGACTTGGAGGAGGAACTTTCCCGCCTTTTTCCCTGCGGCGAACAGACTTGACAACCTCTCTTTGCGGTTCGCTAGAAATGCTTGATCTTTCTTCATCATCTGAGTGTTCACTAGGCAACACAGCCTGAACAAATTTAGTTTCCCGGTGTGTTCTTGGTTCCTCATCCTTAAGTGGACGATCAGCTACCACTGCGCTTATTCTGTCTTCAACCTCTCCAGAAGAAGAGAAGACAAGCTTCTTATCAACGATGGTGAAACTGATGACCTCAGAGCAAGCACCACACTGCAGCTTGTGTTGCATTTCGTGAACAAGAAGCTTCCTCTTAGGCAAATAGAGAAGCTCAAAGCAACTGTGACAAGCTACGAAAGGCGCACCGCCTGCTAGAGGATGGCAACGACGGGAATCAGTATCCCACACAGCCTTTTGAACATAGCCACGAGCAAAAGCACCACCGCCCGTTTCGGAACTGCTTCCACTAGGCCACCTCGTGGGATGACCTTGAACGCCACCACCGTGTGGACTAAGTGGTCCAAGCCTCTCTCCGTGATGCGAAACCGGGCTAATCGGGACATCACCACCGTACCGGCTCGGCGTAACCGGAAAGAATCTAGGATCATGTAAGTGAGGGTCGAGTATATCAGAACCAATATCAACGTACTGTCCTTGAGGATACGGAGGACGAGGCTGCATCTGATTTGGGTAAGGACCTGCTCCTGCTCCTGCTGCTGGATACCAATTCTGAGGTGTCCCCTGCATTGGGACTCCGTAAGGTGGAATGTGAGCCGTGGGAGGAGGATACATTCCATAGGGAAATGGATTGTAATACGGAGGTCCATGACCATGGAAACCCATTGGCGGTGGTGGTGGCTGCTCTGAGTTATTTTTGGGGTTATCATTGCCACCACGGAGGAGATGACCTTTTATGGAATCGAGCTTTCTAAACAGCTCCGCTTGTTGTTGACCTGTGTATTGGATTGGGTTGTTTCTGGTCGTCTTCTTCGGAGACGAATCTGCATCGTAATTAGAGTTTATAGTCTCTTCCTCTTTTCTGGAGGTTTTGACGAATCTCTGAGAGCCAGGTCGTGGATTTGAATCGTCTTGGCGATTTCTCATCGGGCTCGCGGGAAAGTCGTCTTCCTCTTGAAACCCTCTTTCTTCTTCACTTCTCGAAGAACCGGCATCTGCTCCGTAGACGTCACCGCTTGTCCTCATCGGATTTTTGTTTCTCCGACGAAGACTAGCTTCTAGGGATTTGCTTGTTCAACTGCAACTGAAACAATAATCCTCAGATTCAGATTCTAAATTCCATATTTTATCAACGTACCCTCAAATCAGCAAATGATAGCATTGCAAAGCAAATCACAGTTTCTGAGCAGAAAATTTTCTCGCTGACTCCATGGTTTTTTTTTTTTTACACAAACCAAAAACAAGAGGAAAAACCAAACGCACCTCGATTCCGGCGCCAGGATTAGATGAATCTAATTGAGAGGGAATTTTTTTTGGCAATATCTTCTCCGGTGAGAACCGATCAAGCATCTAATCTCTTTGACGCAGCCATTTTTTTAAATAAAAGGAGGTTTTGAAAATTTCAGAGGAATTTAAATAATCATAAGACTTTGAACTGGAAAGCTTAAAGGACAAATTATTGATCTACTTTTCTCGCACTTTGCTATGCCTTTTTCCGGGAATCTATTGGGAAAGAAAGAAAGGATCGACGATGGAGTTTCAAATCTCTCGGAGGGAGAGCAATACCGACAAACTATGAGCAAAACTTGGATTTTAGGACACTGGCAACATTTTAGGACAAAAGGAAACCTTAATATGAGTCTTACCAGTTCAAGTTGACCAACACTTAACGTGACGACCAACAAATATTTGAACTTTTGAAATACGAATTTTTGTTTTATCATACACACTCTATTAAATTTAGATTTTAATTATGACACAGCAGCGACACTGATTCAGACTATAACACAGTTGTGATGACACGAAACATGCATTTGAAAGATTAGTGAAAAAGCCAAGTTAGTTCTTAATGGTCTGGTCTCTAATCCAAACTACATGTATATTATATATTGTCAAAGTAGATGGTGTGCCATGTTCCAAGACGTGCTCGTGACTTGTGTTTGGTTTCTAATCCGACAAGCTCACAGCTTTGTTTATTGAGAGGTTAAACAAATCAATGCTTATCAATGCTTACAATAGTCTCACAAAAGTCCAACTCTTCTTAAAAGTTTAGAAATGTGTTTTAGTTGTTGGAGACTTGGAGTTGTTTATTATAGGGTGACTGGTGGTGACATTGACAATGTCAACCGCTATAGCTGTAAATTATTGTGCACGATTATACTCCACTTGCTTACAAGCATCGGTGAGATTTGACAAATCTGTTGATATTAAAATAAAATAAAAACGCAGTTGAACAAGTATTGATAGTTTCACTTTGTAGATGTTGATTAGGAAAAAAAGAAGACCCAACTATGTTTCACTTTATTCAACGTTGAGTATTAGTTTCGTGTGCGTGAGTGTATCCATCTAGTTAAAGTATGTTGTGCATGATATTCTTCGAACAAAACTAGTATCACAGTTGGAAATGAAAATTGAAGATTGAGATTAAGAAATCAACCAAGAAAAAACTAGTTTATATAAACTGAAAGCATTCTTTTGGTTAATGTTAACGACATACACAATATTTAGGGACTTTCTGGTAATCTCACAATCATAAAAACGAAATCCTGACTATTATTAGAGTTCTCCTCCGTTGCTAATTGCTAATATTAGCTGGAGGATATGAAGACGACGGAATCGGCGGTGGCTTCGACGATCGGTAATCTGGCGGAGGAAGCGAAGTTGGCGAGAAAGAGAGTCAAAGCTCCGAGCCACATCATCACCTGCAAGTCTCTAATAGACGGCGGCGTTCCCTAGCGGAGTGTGAGTGTGTACTCTTCAATCTTCACTCATTTTGAAATTTTTTGTCAACTTCTGGTGGAAATCCAAAAAAACAATAAAAACGAAAGACCTCTTGATTCATTGAATAGACTGATACAGTGAACTTATAATTCCGTAGTCGCTGTTCCTTTACCCGTAACTGATTAGTGTAAAGTGTGATTAGGGAAGCTCAGAGTCAGAGACATGACCAGATTTGGATCTTCGTATCTTTGGGCTAATCAATATCAGTTGACTCTCGGAGTGCCTTCTCACGCTTAGCCCTTGTGGGCTCAGTGGTGGATGCCTTGATCGTGTTCCAGAACATTATCAGAAACACTCTCTCTTCTCCTCATCAGTGAATCCGCAGAGGTAATCTACAATGTTTGGGTGTGAAAGAGATAGCAATGGAGTCACCTGAGGTAGCAAAGCACCGATGTCCCCAAAGAAATGCCTAAGCGCAAAGCTCTCCCCTAACCAGCTAATCTCCTTGTACTGACTTCCGTTCCCGTTCCCTAATCTCTTCTTCACTTGGTAATCTTTCGTGCTAACCAGAATACAAGACGGAAACAGCTCTGGACTCTCGTTTAAGTTCTTCAAAACGAAATCAGCCATCTTCCTGTCGTGTTTGCTCGAACCGGGACGCTTCTTCTCCTGAAGCTGCTTCGTTAGAATCCATCTGTCTTCTCTCCAAGCACTCTCATACCGACTGCAGAGATCATCGGTCACCAAATACTCTCTCCCGAACTTCCACGTAAACATCTGAGAGTCCTTCCATTGCTTCATGTACTTGTTGGAATGCATTAGTCTCTTCTTGTTCATCTCTTCTTCATCCCACCCTGAAACCTCACTCGCCAGCTCAATAGCCTCGATGATGGTCGGTAGACAAGAGAGCAAGTTATGAATGTGAAGCTCTGTGCTATCTCTATTGTGTTGTAATAAGATAACTTTAGCCCAAAAACCAAGTTTAGGCTCTAACGACATCTTAACGTAAGCCTCCCCTTCTCGCACCACCCATAGAAGCTCCCTCAAGGGTTGTTCTAGAATCTTCCATTTAGTGGTCTTCTCTCCGAAGCGTAGATTCGATCTCATTGATTCGGAAATCGAATCGTATGCTGCGGTGAAGAGGTCGAGTAACAGAGTGCATTGACGCTGGTTGATTTGAATGTTGTCCTTGAACACCATTAACGCTCTTATGCTTCCTAACACCTCTCCAATCTCTCGAAATTGCTCCATTTTGCATTCGTTCATACAAATCCGACACAATCCGTAGTAATACTAATACAAGAGTTTGTTTTCCTAAGAAGTTTTCTACTACTAGTTGGTTTAAAAGAAAAAACAAATAACGAACACTAGTTAGAGGTGTGCGGACACGTACGGAAACATATATGTTTGGTATTTTTGGCAATTATAATTTGTTTGGTTTCCAACAAACGCGCATAATAGCTTTCTCTTGTAAGGGAAAAATCACATTGAAGAACAATTTGGAACGTTAAACTTTTAACAAACAAAACGAAACAATTTTGCATTGTACGTGCCAAAAACATAACGCAAACCACTAACAAGTAACAATGATCGATCATCATATGTATGTGTGTGTATAACATAATACATTTGTAATGAATCTGTGTTGAAATTAGAAATATGCATGGTTGAATAAATATTTGACCATTTAGATTAAAAAGTAGATACAAATTAAGCCCTCGTATATATATCTGGCTCGTGTTAGCTTGCATAACCTTCTCAGACATGGCCAAAATGTTTCTCATGACCGCAATTTGATCCTGCAATTATCCATTCAAATGTGGTAATCAATATTTTGCTAATTACACGACACCTTATGATTTATACTTTACGTACATTTTTGTAATAACTCATATACTAAAAATGTATGTAAGTACGTACCATTTCAACATTTTGATGGTGCATTTGGCCATTTGCGTATCAAGTGTTTGCAACCTAACGCCTCCGCATTTGATACTAACTCCCACAGTAACAATCCTGCGACTTCCCACGGCCAATCCAACTTTCGTCTTAGCTGTCACTTTCACCAACAATGCTTTACTCTTCAGCTCTGCCCGTAGCCTCTTCACCGTCGGATTATCAACCTGTCGTTTCCTCACCCTCGTCGGGATAATCACAGCCGTCCGATTCCCTGGCTTCTCAACAAAGCCTTTGACTTTCGTTGTCCCTAAATTGGTCTCAAAGTCTTTCTCTCCGAGAATCACTGCTACGTCCGTATCTCCGTAGTAATATCCAAGCTTTCCGTTAGGGTTTCTAAAATCAAGCATCGCCGTTGCATCCGCCGTCAGAAACGACCATCCGTCGTCGGACTTTCCTTCCGAAAAGTTGAAATTGCTGATTTTGAAAGAAGCCAGGCGGACCACGGGGAGTTTAGGGCTGTACCAGAGGAAGAAAACAGCGACGGCGATGATGAGGAGGAGGAGAATCACGGCGACCAAGATACATACGCAACAGCAGAAAACGCGACAGATACTACACCTCCGTTTCTTCTCCGGGTACTGTGACGATGGATGGATAGGCCTCGGACGGCGACGTGGAAGCGTAGCTGTTCCAGACGGCGGTGCCGATGATGGTGGGTTCTCTTGATCACGGAACCCTGGTGGTTTCTGAAGTGCTGGTTTTAACGGTTTCTCCGACGCCATTTCTTCATCGGCGGTGGTTGGCCTCTTTTGTTCCATAATAGCCCTAGCTAACAAACTAGGGTTTCAAAATGAAACTTTTATAAGAAGTTTCCCAAAAAAAGACAGATTAATGTGGTTTTAGATTCTTTGACTAATACATAACTTGATTCAAGAAAGAATCAATCAATACCTATGGATGATTTAATCCGGAAGTGTGCCCACGTTGTTACTTCAACCTGCTTGCCGTTTTGCTATACGGAAGGCAAACTGCTCGGTGCTTTTACATTCCAACTTTCTTTTCTTGTGCTCTACGCAAGTGTCTTTGCGATGACAATATATGGACCGGTCGTTATTTGAAGATAGTGACCACCATGTATGAAAGTATCTTTGACCTTGTCTAATTATTTATCTGCAGTTCTGTCTAAAATGTATTTGTATAATTGTAGACCGAGCTATGCAACAACAATTGATGATTATGTGGATTTTTAGTATATACGGCTTCTGATTTTATTTCAAAGAAAACTTATGCTTTTTATCAAAGGCTTTGGTTATAACTTGTAAATAATCTATGACTGAGAAACATATATCATCCACCCACCGGAACCGAAGTTTACTGAGTGAAACAGCGTTGTCCGTTTGGATTTTTTTTTCATATAAATAAAAGAATCAGGATCCCATAAAATTGAGAGTATTGGACAGACACTGGCATGGAATCTAACTTTCGGTTTGTTTTTTTCAAGAAGAATATCGTAAGGAATCACGAAATGTACATTATGTAATTGGTCATGATTATTATTTAATTTCAAATCAATGAAATGCATACACATAAGAAAGATCTTTTCGGCATTCGTCGGTAAGTGAATAATATATCTGTCATCGCCATCACGTTTATATGAGAGGGAAGCACGTATTCCACAATTTCTACTTTGCCAAGGTACATCAAACTGAGGGAACAGATTTATGGAAACGATGAGAGTCCTTCCTTTGGCGGCCTATGACTTTGGTTTGGGCCTTACTATGTTAGCTCTGGCCCTTTCGAGTATGTAATAACAAAAGAATAATAAAACGGAAAATGTATGAAACAGAACGCGGGAATTGGTTTTTCCTCATTACACAACAGAGGAGAATGAGTTGGAGCGAACTTCAACGGCCAAATTTGGCAAAACCATTGCTTCTTTATTTTCCGTGTCAACAGAAAGAAAAAGAAAAAGAAAAAAGAGAGAGAGAAAAGAAAAGAATAAAAACCAAATCATCTTCTTCAAATTTCTTGTCTCCTTCAAAAATCCAACGAACTATTCTTCTTCGTCTCCTCTCTTGTTTTCAGCTCCTGAAACAGGTATTGATATCTCCATGTTGCTCTGATAGTTTCTTCTTCTTTTTTTTCTGGAGAAATTCGTGGTTTATATGAATAAGATCATGATATTTTGTGATGGTATGATCAATTATCAATTTCTAAGGTTTACTTTTATTGGCTGAGCCGACGGAATTAGGAGGGTTTTTCGTTTTTACGTTTCAATTCGTGGAAATTGGAATACAATTGTTACCGACCTAGGGTTCGTAATCAAATTGACATATTTTTGGGGATGTGTTGCAGGGGCATACAAAGATGTGGGCTTAGATGAGGATTGATCTCCGTGGGAGCTGAAAGAGAAAGAGAGAGAGAGAGAGAGTATTGATGGAAATGTTTACAAGGGAGATAACAACAAAGGACGTGAAAGCCACTGAGAAAAACAGAGTTCAATACTCTTCGAAGCACATCAAACATCTTCCCCCAGGAACCATTACTGATTTTGAATGGAAAGATTATTCTCCCTTGGGATTCAGGTAAACTCATTCTCTCTCTCTCTCTCTCTCAGGATGATCTCATTTCCTAAGTGTAAATGTGTTTAACTGGTTTTGATGTAGACTTGTGCAAGAGCTTGAGGATATAAATCATGAGGAATACATGAAATCCATATGTAATGATGAGACCTTAAGGAAGCTTTCTACTGGGAAAGTTGGTAACATGTTTCTCCTCTCCAAAGATGACCGCTTTATCATCAAGATTCTCCGCAAATCCGAAATCAAGGTACTTTTACGTTTACAATCTCCTTTTACAACAAAATGTTTTTATCTTATTTTCTCATGATCTCATGCGATAAATCTTTGGATGTACGTACGTACGTAGGTAATACTAGAGATGTTGCCTGGTTACCACCGACATATTCGTAAGTACAGGTCAACTTTGTTGTCCAAGAACTATGGAGCTCATTCTGTGAAACCTCTCGGAGGTGTTAAGGTATATATGTCTGTGGATTTCAATGGTTTTCGGTATACAAGACTTTTTACTACATCATAGACTAATGTTGCTCTGTTTTCATTCTTGTGATCAGACATATTTTGTGGTCATGTCAAACATACTGCAGTCAGATGTGTTTATGAACAAGGTCTATGATCTAAAGGGGTCATCACAAGGTCGAACTAACAAGAAGATCAAAGTCAGAGACAAAACCATATTGAAGGATATAGACCTTGAGTTTCATTTCTACGTTGATTCCTTGGCAAGGCACCGCCTCCTCAAGTTGGTTTTTTCTCTTCTTTCTTTCTATGTTTCCATCTTCATTCTTTTCATCTAGATAATGCTCACCTGATTCTTGTCATCATCGCTCAGGCAAACGAAGCTAGATTGTGAACTTTTGGAAGAAGAAGGGATAATGGATTACAGCTTAATGCTTGGTTTACAAGTCAAAGGCTCATGTCATGGTAAGTTCACTAAGCAGCTCATCTCTCTATTCTTATTAAGAAACTTCATATCTTTTGCCTATTTATCAAGATGCCATTTTAAACCAGGTTCGATTGATGGATTGAGCCCTGTATACGACAGCTTCACATCACTAGGCTCTGTTGACAGCGATAGCTCCAAGTTTATGAAGACAGCTTCAAACTCTCCAGATAGATCGTCAACAATGTATTCATGCACTCCAAGCAGAGGTGACTTTCATTAATCTATCCCTAAATGATCTCATCTAAATACTACTGAGATCAGATAGGAAGATGTTTTATGTTTTTGTTATTATTACAGATTCAGTTGATAGTGACAACTCGGTGAATATACAATCAGTATCAAGTGTAAGCCCGAGTCCAGCACCAACGAACGCTTCTGATTCTCCACAAGGAAGCATTGTTTCCAAGAATTCTCTCACCAACATCTTCCAAAACAGGTAACACCAGTTTGAGAATTTCTTGCTCTTGTGCTCGATAGTAAAGAAACACGTTTTGTGAATGTATGAAAATGGGTTTGTTTACTTGCAGCTCAAGCACAAACTTTGGGATGAAGATACCGGGAAGAGCAAGAAGGGTCGAGAGAGGAGAATCAGGGAGTGTGGCGGGGAAGAGCATTAAAGGAGGAACAGAGGAATGGTACGATGTGATAATGTATCTTGGGATTATTGACATTTTCCAAGACTATGGTGTGAGGAAACGCATTGAACATTGTTACAAGTCTATTCAACACAGCTCTAAGACAATCTCTGCCGTCCATCCTAAGATCTACTCTTCTCGTTTCCAAGATTTCGTCTCTCAGATCTTCTTACCTGACGAAGATCCTTCTCATTAATATCAACTTCCTCTCTTTGTCTTAATATTGCTACTTTTATTCCTCATGTAGCTTAGCCAAAGTTTGTTTAATTTGTTTGTGAAGCAAAGGCAACCTCCACTTTTCTTTTTCAATTACTTTGACCTGGGTCGAAGGCTCGAATTTCATTTATTGATTTATTTTCTGGGGACATAATTTCACTTTAAAGGAATTTACATGAATATGAAAAAATGAATTCACCTAGCTCCTATTTCTATTCATATTTTACGAAACCTTTTTCTTTTTGAAATAGACGTACTTTTACTTGTTATATAATGGAAGCATGCACTTCTCTATATTTAAAAAGTCTCACGTTCTGTGATCTATTTGCTCTTCAATACAGTTTTAAAGTAAACGTTCATCTTCCCCTTTGAAAACTGTAATGGCTCCCTACGGCTCTCTTCCTGTCGGCAGACTCCCTCGCGAGGCTTCTCTCCCCGTCGGAAAACTCCCTACCAAGGGCTCTCTTCCCGTCGGCAAACTCCCTACCAAAGGCTCTCTTCCCATTGGCAAACTCCCTACCAAAGGCTCTCTCCCCGTCGGCAAACTTCCTACCAAGGGCTCTCTTCCCGTCGGCAAACTCCCTACCAAGGGCTCTCTCCCTGTTGGCAAACTCCCTGGCCAGGGCTCTCTTCCCGTCAGCAGTCACCCTCCCAAAGCCGCTCTTCCAGTGGGCAGTCTCCCTCCCACCGGCGCCCTCCCGCTCCGCTGCCGACGTTTTTTTCATGGTTTATTTGGAAAATAAATCGGACAAAAAAAGTTTATTTTTGACATTTTTCATTCCTTTGATCCAAGTTCATATATACCATCTACAATTTACCAAGGCTCATTAAATTATCAATATGTGTGTATATCGGTTGTTCAGTATAATCCACTATCTAATGTCTTGCTTACTTACCAACTATTACTTAACTTAAATGGTTCGTGCAATAATTTAAAAGAGGAAGGAAAACATTTATACAAAAACCTTGCTAAGAGAAACAACCCATAGGTACAAGAAGATTGATGAATCCTAAATAGTACGTAGCCGAGAGATTCGTCTTCTTTCGAAACCCAGAGAGAAAAGAGAGCCCTAAATTTTTAAGGTTTAATGTTTGTGAAATAAACCATAATATTCAAAACATACCTATACTTTGAGAAGATTTGATTAATTACTACAAGGCCCAAATCTTCAAATATTTCATTGTACAATAGTTTTTTTTTGTATAGCCAGGGTAAAAATAAAATTAGGTTAATTCACCTAGCTCTCACTTTCTATTCAAATTATGAAAACCTTTTTCTTTTTGAAATAGACGTACTTTTACTTGTTTTATAATAGAAGCAATGCATTGCTCTATTTTCGAAAGTCTCACGTTCTGTGATCTATTTGCTCCTCAATACATTTTCAAACAGACGTTCCTCTCCACCTTTTAAAACTGTAATGGTTCCCCACGGCTCTCTTCCCGTCGGCAGTCTCCCTCCTAAAGGCTCTCTTCCCGTGGGCAGTCTCCCTCCTAAAGGCTCTCTTCCCGTCGGAAGTCTCCCTCCCAAGGGCTCTCTTCCCGTCGGCAGTCTCCCTCCTAAAGGCTCTCTTCCCGTCGGCAGTCTCCCTCCCAAGGGCTCTCTTCCCGTCGGTAGTCTCCCTCCCAAGGGCTCTCTTCCTCCCACGTCGTTTTTTTCATGGTTTTGGAAAAGAAATCGGACAAAATTATTTTATTTCTGACATTTTCCTTTCCTTTGATCCAAGTTCATACCATCTACAATTTACCAGCTCTGTTAAAAAAACTGTGCTTTATATTATCGACATCCGACAATTATATGTGTGCTGGGAAGTTATTTATTTATCTATCTATCTTTCTTTTTTTGTTTAATTTATGATTTTATTTTCACAAAGATTAAGATTTGAGTTTGTAGAATATCAAGAAAAGTCTAAAGTAATTAGTTTAGAAGGTTAGGTTAACCATTATATAATGTGGTGAGTACAGAGATTATAACCCACCATCTCATTCTCATGTTTTGCTAACAAGTTACTAGTTTACAACTATTAACTTAAAGGCGTGTTATATTAGTGGTGAATGAAAAAAACAAACGTTACGTTTATAACTTAATAGATAAATGAAAAAATGCTACACACAAAAAGTTTCCTAATTAAGATAACCATATTCACAAATATCTTATGATCTACCATATTTGGGGTTGTGGGCTTCTCAGCAACTAGATCTGAAGTTAGAAGCTGATAGAAGCTGGGTCAGCTGATAATGGACTTTGTTTGTCGGCTTTACATGCACACGCCTTCAACCGATTGAGGCCTAGTATTTTAATTTAAAAAAAAAAAGCAAAAAATTTGTATATTGTTTAAACTACAAAACCTAACTTTTATGTCGGCAATGATTTTTGATATTTTCTTTAATGTTTAATATGTCAAATTCATGTTCGAGAGAATCTTGCAAAAATGCTTTGACCGTTCCTACTTCCTAGTCATGATTGAGACTTCACCATTTCATGAATTAAATCCGGTTTAACCAAACCAAGCCAAAGTGAGTAGATCTACCATGCATTTGGCTTTCAACGTTTTTTTGACTTACCAAACGAACAAAAGATACTTGTGTTCTAAAAGTTGGCCGAGTTACCGAGTACTCGGTCCTAAAACCGTCAGAAGGAGGTTGTCGTTCCGAATTTTTAAAAATCGAGTAAAGATATGGTCAACCATTGACCGTACTTTGACATTCACATTATTATAAAAATCAGCAAGTAAATGTTAAAATCTGGTGGGTTAAAGTTTGATTTTTGTTCATAATTAGCCCCAATTCACTCAAAGTGTGTAAAGACACTTTTCATTCAACATAAAACCTTAAAAATATAGTATATGACTTTTATATTGATGTATTATATATAAAAAATAATGTTATTTGGTAATAATGTAATATATGATTTTCATGTTGATGTATTATATATAAAAAATTAAAATTGTTGGAAATATATAAAAATGTACTTAAAATTAATCTCCGAGTACACTCCGATTTATTTCCGACTTTTGAGAAAAACCCTAGTACCGCCTAACGAGTTTTAGAACACAGAAAGATACACACACAAAATGTAAACTGAATTCTACCGTATATCTTTTATCAGATGTTGACATGAAGAAATAACATTTATTGATTATAGGCAAATCCATTTATTACATTATCTTCATCATGCATTACAAACGATGTCGGTTTTATAGGGTTTTGATTTCGTAGATCAGAAGAAATCTTTAAAAGTAGGTAGTTTGATTTCTCCTTTGCTGTTAATAGGGATAGTAAATTCCCCAACAACAGGAAGATCAATGGTGAGACCGATTTCGAGCAGATAGTCAATGTCCCAGTCCACACCAACGTCTCTAGCCAAGTTGAACAGTATACTGTACGGCACCACCACCGGAATATCAAGCACCGTCATATCCTTAGCTTTCAAGGAACCCGGGTCCGGTATCTTCCCCTTTCCGATTTCCCTATTAAGATAATAAATCATTAGATTACGGGATTTTGTCGTTTATATGATGAAAGAGATTCATATTATTACATTTGTATATATACGACGACCAAATATCAACATTTTTTTCGTTTCTGGTTAATATTTGAGTGAAATGACTAATCAAAGTAGCTTTACCAAGCCGAATAACATAATCAAACGAGGGAGAGAGGGTTTTACCGGCCGGCGCTGTGGAAAGTGAAAGTGATCTCGCAGATGGGAATCGAATGACTGTAAGGATTCGTGACAGAAACTTTGGCTAAATATTCGACCGACTCTCGATTCACGTCTTTAAGATCAACGTCCGTAACTGAACCTTCCGGTTTAGGAACCCCAGCGAGTTTATCAGCCACGAAACCCTTGGCTTTATCAAGTAGACTCGCCATATTGACCCTTCTTGTAGAATCTTTTTTCGTTCTGTTTCGATTGGTGTTTTAATTTTGTGTGTTACAATACGAAGTCTTGCTTGGATTATATATACAAAGGTGGGTGTGATTACGAGGTTTGATTAAGTCGGTCTATGTGAATGGATTACATTTTATAATGGTTTGTGTACGTGTGAGGGCTCTCCGCGAGTGAGAGTGAAAGCGTCGGTTATACGTGTCTTGTGCTTAAGAAATGGAAAAAATCATCCGACGCAAATATATATACATATAATAAAGTTTATAGATATTTTCTTTGCAAGTCAATTATTATTAACTTACATAAAAAAAGGAAGTTGACATACGTATTAGATTCCAAATGGCATATAACGAGAACACTGCTTAGTTGAGCATTTCAAATATCTATGATCACTTTCAGAAAATTCAAACGCAAGCCAAGTTAGATAAGATACTCATAGTACTTGACAATTTTCAAAATAATATTATATCTGTCAGAGTTAATTAGACAATTTTCAAAATAATATTATATCTGTCAGAGTTAATTATTCCAGTTACTTTATTTTCTTCCATTAAAACTATAGAAAGTATTAACGTAACGAATAAGATGTTAATTAGACAATTTTCAAAATAATATTATATCTGTCAGAGTTAATTATTCCAGTTACTTTACTTTCTTCCATTAAAACTATAGAAAGTATTAACGTAACGAATAAGATGCGCAACTGATTTAATGGACCGACCATGTCCGCCCATATGCACGTCGGTAGACAGTAATATTCTCCTGCATCGCATACACGATTGCACAATACATTTATGACGCGTGTTATAGACTTATAGTGAGATTTTCCAATAATAGCTTGTTGAAATCGTTGAATTGAGACGATTATCGAAAAGACAAGAAAAGAAAAATACAAAAATCGTTTTATTCATCGAAACATGTCATTTCTAGTACAACAAATTGAGATTTTTAGATAAGCTCGGGAACTAGATATATTCATGAATCATGATTATACGAAGATTGAAGAGATCAAATAAGTTGAGCTAGTGATTGTTTTGTTGTGTTGGTATTGGGGGTTTCTACCCAGTTTGGGCCTAGAGGTCCATATGCTCAGATCTCACATTACAAAAATTCGGCCCAGTATTTTCGGCTAAAGAGTAGCATGACACGTGCTGAAGGGTGATTAGTGGAAGGAGAAAGAAGAAGCGTGTCCAATTAGTCGACAGCTGCGGAATGAGTCAGCATCTGCGTGGGCAAGTCAAACCTCTGCCTCGCATGTGTCTCTGAGTTAATCTGACTTATTCACGATTCAAACGCATGCTTGACCTTATTAACACTAGACCACTCTTTAGTCTTTACTATTACTTTCTAGTTTCTATTGGCTTTCACAATTTCAATTGGTCAAACATCTACGTGTTCATAATCTAAAAAATATGTTTGAATTTACAGATTTGCATAAGGAATATAATACCTAATACATTCCACGAACTAGAATTTTATATTTAAAAATGTCACAAGTGGAATCAAGAAATCATATAATTTAAATGTCGGAATGATATATTACCAAATCAAAATTGCCGAAAGCAATATCTTTTGGTGTCGGTAGTTGTCGTGCATATTAGAAAAGAGATGCGATCGATCGATTGCGGTCTTTTTAGTACACACTGTGTTTCCTGTGTCATGCTCTATCTCGTTTTTTTCATTTACTTCTAAATTTTCAAGGCAAGTTACATGTCTTCATCATTACAAAAAAAACAAAACTTTTTACGTAGATAATATATGCACCAGCTTCAAGCTGTTTTACATATTTCCACAAGGAATTAGTCTGATCCCAAAAAAAAAACACGGGTTCGTGGTGTTTGTTTGAAAATTATTGAGGCAACAACTCCAAATGTTGAAGAAGAAAAAAAACAACTCCAAATAGGAAAATTGATATCAGGTTTAAATATTATTGAGATTTTTTGTTCCCCTTTAACTCGGTTTTCCAGCAAAGTGTGCTTAAAGAATGTTTGAGACTTTTGAAATTATGAATTGACACTAAAATAAGTAGAGCCCAAATCAGATTTTAATACTAAGTAGAGTCCAAGACATCAATAGACCGAGGTATAAAAAGACCTTGCTAGTTTTCAGAGAAATACGATTAGAAAAGGAAAGGAGTTTGACTTCGAAATTACTACGAGTGTCTACTCACGTGATCGTCGCGTGACAATCTTGCGGCGTGAAGTGCAAGTAAAATCACATTAAGCATGTGTAGGATTTGACTAATCGGTCCAAACCCACCAACTTTTATATAATCATATAAGATAATTATCATTATCCCTCGTACAGTATATATCCAAATACCAAATACAGTAGCAAACTGTAACGGAATCATAGTTATGATATCCGAGAATATATGCACAGTTAAATAATAGCAACGAGATAATTCGATACGTAGTAAATTATCAATTTAAAATATTTCTGTATATCGGTCAAATGTTTGAATGATGTGGTCGAGGCATGTACATGTGTTGCATATTAGATACCATACGTTTATTATACCTATTTAGAATGTTACAAATTGTTTTCTGCGTTTGAATAATCTTCTCTTTCTTGTATGCGACTAGATAGATACTCTTCACATTTTTCTTAGTTTTAGGTCAACATACTTCTTAAGAAACTGCTTAGAAATAGCCTTGGGTTCAACTCAATACACATAACTTTCCACAACTAATTATAGTATATTACAAGGGAAATCAGTGCGAAACTATTGAAATACGATCTACTTTCATCGTAATATGCCTCCACATTCAAACGGAGAGAGAGTCGTATATATATATATATGTTTATTGTTTGATAATTGATACAACCGGAGATTGATGCTATCAACATAACAATTTAATGATATATGAAAACATAGTTAGCGTATGTATTGTTTTGGGTGGAGAATCATTCTTCATTGGTTTGCTTGTTCTTTTTCGCTTGTTTCATCAATTATAGCTTTCTCTTTTTTTTTTGGACCCCACATTAGCTACATTTGGTCTTCTCAAGGTTGTTAACTTATAATTTCACCTCCTATATAAACCACATTCTCATGAATTAATTAGTACAAACACCACAACACCTGTCATACGATAAATATTGATACCCCCGTAAAAGAAAACAGCAACAAAGAGGTGAGGATAAAAACAACAAAATGGGTTCTTTGAAAAAGAATGGCGGCGTAAGCGGTGCGATTCTGTCGAGGATAGCGACCAACGATCAACACGGCGAGAACTCAGAATATTTTGATGGGTGGAAATCTTACGACAAAGATCCCTTTCACTTTTCTCGTAATCCCCATGGTGTTATCCAAATGGGTCTTGCAGAGAATCAGGTATACATATATTAGTACAAATAAGCAATTAAAGCGTTGCATGTCTAAACACATATGTACATCGTTTACTAGTTTTTGTGTTTCTACAAATGTTACAGCTTTGCTTAGATTTGATCAAAAACTGGATCAAAGAGAACCCAAAAGCTTCCATTTGCACCGCTGAGGGTGTTCATCAGTTCAGCGACATCGCTAATTTCCAAGACTATCATGGCCTTAAAGAATTTAGAGAGGTATATATAGTTAATTAATCATATTCATTTAATTTCATCATATATATATATAGTATTGTATTGTAATTATATGTTATGTCACGCAACTTGAAATTAGTGATAGGATTTGAACCAGTTTGAGAATCTATTTGGTTTGAGTTCATATTCAAATCTATTTCGGTCTATTTTTTCTTCGGTTTGATTTATACTATTAGCATTTAAATATCAGTAGATTTATGGAATGCATAGGAAAAATAAGTTGAGTTTGGCAAATACAAATTAACCTTTTTTGTTAAACCGAAATTTTTGGAATTGAAGGCGATCGTAAAATTCATGGGAAAAGCAAGAGGTGGTAGAGTGACGTTTGATCCGGAGAGGGTAGTTATGAGCGGCGGTGCCACCGGAGCCAATGAAACAATAATGTTCTGCCTCGCAGATCCCGGCGACGTTTTTCTTGTTCCCTCCCCTTACTACGCTGCGTAAGCATTTTTTCTACTATTTCAACAATATATAATTAAAGACAGTCAAATATTTACTTTTTCAAAAGTTAAGATTAATAAATACAGAAGTGATGTAAGTATAATTTAAATCTAGAACCTCCTAATTAAAGATGATAAAAATGATATTATTTTATGAAACGGGAAAAAGTACATGATTGTGGTCTTGTGGGATAGTGTGAACAGGTTTTAAGGAAAAGAAAGAAAAAGTTAGGGGCAGTTTCATTATTGTAACTCTCACGTACTTTTGGGTTAACAAATTTCAAATCGAAATGTGTTTTAGTATTAGGATCAAGTTTTGACTCTATCATCAGCTTTTGTCACACGTGTAAGGTATATTAATTCAGTTAACTTTACGGATTTGTTTCAATGACAATGAGTATCTCTCATAGACAATCTTTCTTTTCGCAGATTTGATAGAGACTTGAGGTGGCGTACAGGTGTCGAGACAATCCCAGTTCATTGTTACAGCTCCAACAATTTCAAATTAACCGTCGAGGCCGTCGAATGGGCCTACAACAAAGCCCAAGAGTCCAACAAAAAAGTCAAAGGTCTAATTTTGACCAACCCATCAAACCCGCTCGGTACAATGTTAGACAAGGACACACTCGAGAACTTAGTCCGGTTCGTCACGAGGAACAACATTCACTTAGTCGTTGACGAGATCTACGCCGCCACGGTCTTCGCTGGAGAAACTTTCGTGAGCGTCGCTGAGGTGGTCAACAACGCGGACAGCTCCGAAGTCAACGTTGACTTGATTCATATCGTCTATAGTCTTTCTAAAGACATGGGACTTCCTGGTTTTAGAGTCGGTATAGTGTATTCTTACAACGACTCGGTTGTGTCATGCGCAAGAAAAATGTCGAGTTTTGGACTAGTTTCGTCCCAGACACAGCTCATGCTTGCTTCAATGTTGTCTGATGATCGGTTCGTGGAGAATTTCCTTATAGAAAGCTCGAGAAGGTTGGGGATAAGGCACGGAGTTTTTACCTTAGGACTCAAGAAAACAGGGATTACTTGCTTGACAAGCAGCGCGGGTTTATTCGTGTGGATGGATCTGAGACATCTACTAAGAGATCGTAATTCATTTGAGTCTGAGATCGAGCTTTGGCGTATAATCATCAACAAAGTTAAGCTTAATGTTTCGCCAGGGTCTTCCTTCCACTGCACGGAACCTGGATGGTTTAGGGTTTGCTTTGCCAACATGGATGATGATACTCTCCACGTAGCACTTCAACGAATTCAAGATTTCGTGTCCAAGAACAACAACAAGATCGTTGAGAAAACATCGGATAGTGATCAGATAATTCAGAACAATAACGCTAAGAAGCAGAAATGGAGGCAGGGAAATCTCCGACTAAGTTTCCGACGACTTTACGAGGATGGACTCTCGTCACCGGGGATTATGTCACCACACTCACCTCTTCTCAAAGCATGATTACTTAAGGCATAACGCTTGAGAGATCAGATTAACTCGTCCTCATTTCACCCAAAGTGCATGATAGTTAATCTGTAATCAGTAAGTGTTTAAGTGATTTTTTTTTCCTTTAATTTACTCTAAGATTGGCATAATTCAACTTCAACATTATTGTTTTTTTTTTGGCTGCCAGCCTTTTTTTCTGGTGTCAAATGGTAACTTGTAGAATTTGTTGTCTTTTATTTTATTTTTTTGGTTTTTTTTTTCCACTTATGATTAATCGATGGATTATCATTGTGGTGTTGGTGCTTGTAGTATGTATTTTTGTGTGTAATAAAGGAAACATTATTTGTGCTAACTATTCGATCACCAGAGTTTATTAGTTGGAGAGGTTGATATGTACGCGTTGGAGGATTTGTTAAGCTAACTATTCGATTTTTCTAGAACTATATTTTGTTGTTCGCTCAATACGTCACATATGCATGCCACCATGCCTACCCTTTTTAAAAAATTAATATGTCCCAAATTGAACATTCGATTACAAAGATATAACTAATTAATTATAGCATGTTACTTCTTTTTTTATTTTGTCGTAGCCAATAAGATGGTGGGTGGTGCAAGTTTCATCAGCATTTTAGCTGCACCAAATACGATAAAATCCATATTATCAGATTGTTGCAAAATGACAAATTCGCTAAGAATTATCAGCTATCAAACATGATGACATCTCCATTAATATTCATGAATCGTCAGCTTTTTCTTTTCTTTTTGTCAATGAGGAAATCGTCAGCTTGAATGAAATATATTATATACACGATCTAGTCCTTTTTGGTAAACTCTTAGCTACTAGTGTCGATTTTTATAGATCTCAGATTAAGGAATGTATTAAACTCACGAAACCATATAATTTATCATACATATATGTTTATTTATATTTACATGCTATTAAAATTTGTTAGTTAATTAAGTGGTGAGGAATGACGATAAGGCGTGCTTTGGACCGGCTTTTGATTGATAATTTGATGGTGATACTGTCCCGCTTATTTGTATATTTTTTATATGACTAAAATTCCAAACAAAAAACTAGACAAATTTTCAAAATTTATAAAACTGATCATGATTTTTTTTTTTTAAAAACCAGTGTAAAATATATATTAAACAGATCATGATTAAAATCTAGACATTTGTTTCAGTGTCACCAATATATTGTATTTTGGGTTCAAACCCTGTATAAATGATGTTAGATCAATATATAAGACAAAAATCAAATTTGATATACTAAACCAAAAAACGACGGTTCAATCTTTTTCATATGGAATGATTTGCATCTAGATAATTAAATACATTATATATTTATAGTCGTCAACATCGTCGTCGCGATCATCAATCACCACCGATTTATAATCATCAACATTATTTTACGAAATGTAATGAAGTAATATATATGTTTACTTGTTTGGTAGGAAAAAATGATATGAGGCAATCGTTTATTTTTATTAGTGAATAACCTTTTTAGAATTCGTGGGAGTTTATGAGTTACCAAAGATTTATTTTTTCACATGTTCGTTTTAGGTGGCTACCAACCAAAATGTTTTTGACATTTGCATTTATATTGCACTAGGTTAAGCGAAGACTATATTCAATTAATTGAAAATAGTCATTCACCTAAAATAAAAGTACGCTTATGAGAAAATAAAACTAGAACCATTAATAAAAGAATTATCACCTTTTTCATATTTCTAAAAGCGACTCATCAGATGGTCATGGAGGCCAGGCCATGCCCTTTCGCTTCGTGCAAAGCAGAAGTAAAAATAAATTAACAAATGGATCACATCAAATTTACAGCTAAAATGTTATAAGTCGCCCAACAACATTTATACACCTAAACTAACACCCCCACCAGACATTTAAAATTACAGTGCCTCCAATGAGTTGGGACTTATGAGAAACAAAAGAAATGTAACTAGAAAAGATGACCAAATCATGGAATATATAAATTGTTAAAAAACATAAATCACAATTCTACATAGCTATGTGACGGGTAAACCTGTAGAATCGCGAAACTGTTTTTGCAATTTCTTCATTCCATGCATGTGCTACAGTGCTATCAAAACCATATAAACACAAAGGCATTCCAACAGTATTTCACACTGATGACAGAATTAAGCGATTAGCCCTTAAGTAATAATTAGGGACATAGAAACGTGTATCACAAACAAAAAAACATCTGAAAATAATTAACAAAAATTCAAATACTAACACATACTTATACAATATAACACCATCATATATACAGAAAGTTCCCTTGGACGTTCAAAACAAAAAAAGGAATTCTAGTACTATCGACGATATATACACAAAACATATCATCGAAATCGATTTAAGGAAATTAACTTTCCCCGCATTATCGAGGGCAAAGAAAAAACATATCCGATCCAATCCGAATCGATATATTCTCTGTTTCTTATTCTTCTCCTTCCTCATTATAGATCGGTCCATCTTTTTTTTCACATTTTCCCTCCCAAATTATATATAATACAAGTTGTTTTTTCAACATATAACGCAAGCGTTAGGGTTTTCTTCCATGCTTTGGGCGTAGTAATACGTTGTAAGGTGAGGATTATATGCTTTATACGCCTTTACAAGCTCCAACACATGATCTGGTGGCGGCGGTTGCGGCTGCGGTTGTGGTTGTGGTTGATCTTTCTTCTCCCCTTCCTTCTTATCACCGCCTTCTGTCTTCTCTTCTTCCTTCTTCGGCGCTTCTCCTTCCTTTTTCCCTTCCTCTTTGGGAGCCTCTCCTTCTTTCTTCGCCGGCTCCCCACCGCCTTCCTTCTTCGGCTCCTCCTTCTTCTCCTTCTCCGGCTCTTTTGCAGGTCCCACCAGTATGATATCCGTCATTGGCCAATACTTTCTCAGCTTACTTACTACGTTTACCGGATCCACGGTTCCAATCACTGTTAATTTCTTCTCTTTCATGTCCATTGCAATCGAATCGATTCCTACAAAAAGAAAATGCAAAGTTGTAATCATTTTGAGAGACATACACGGTTTTGCCCTGTCAACATGAGTCACCACATTTTGGAGACAATACCGATAAGGCAAGTAAAGACTGTTGATCGAACAAACAAACAAAAATCTTTGACTTGTATGATTTTTAAAGTTGATGGGCACGTATTTCAAAGAAGCTATAGTGGCCTAGATGTGATTTTATTCCAAATAAAATAAAACAATAATTGAATTATGGCGCAACATTTTACCGTACTGACACTATTCAAAAAGAGAGACACCAATGTCAGGACAGCTCGTGATTGTTGAAAGAGAGAAATGAAAACATTTTTCTCTTCTTGTTTATAATTATATATATACCCACCAACCAAATCAAAAACTAAACCGGACCAAGTGGATTGGAAAACAATGGTTTAACAGTTGGTTTAGAATTAGGTATAATCATAGAGCTACTAAATACAGAGGTTTTGTGTTTCTGATGTGTAACCAACCAAAGAGAAAACGAGTGATGAGTATGATTGATTACCTGGGAGAGTAGAAACTGTTTTAAGGGCCTTTTGTTTTGCCTTGTCATCATGCAGATCCAACTTTAACACAATTTTCTGCAAATTTTATTACAAAAGATAAAACAATTTTAGTGAGATTTGGTGAACTAAATAGTAAAGTGACATGAGCTCAAAGATGACGTATGTAGTCTTTTCTTCTTTTGGGTATTTGTCTCAGGAATCTTACAGATCATGCAATAACTAAAAACAGAGATTTGCAGGCTTTGAAGAATTTACTGAAAAAGAAAATTACTGATGTGTGTTACACACACACACACACAGACACAGTGACATGCATGTGAACAAGTTAGAGAAACAGAGTTTTGCAAAAGCAGAGCATGTTCATCAATTTTAAAAAGTAACTAGATCTTCTTCTTTGTTGGTTTGATTTGATTTTTGTAAAAACGTGAAATCTTTTTAGTTCTTAACTCTGAAAGAAACAGATCAGATGTAATCATAACAAACACATACATATATACGGCGAGAGAATATGGAATCAAGTAATGCAAAAGGAATAGATTCAGAGGTTCATTTGGAATAACGAATAACAGAAAAGGCTAGTTGCTTTTAGATTCAGGATGAAACAAGAATCAAAACCCATTTTCTTATAGAAATTCGAATTCTAGGAATCAAATCTTGGATACGTGTATAGAGAGAGAGAAAGAGAGATATGAACCTTCATTAGTCTCTGCTTTTCGTTTATTTGGTTTTGGTTCCGTTTGATTCTCAAGAATATTCAGAGAGATATGTAAAAAACAAGAAAAGATTGGCTCTGAGAAAGAAATGAGAATGAAGAAGAAGAATGAAATAATTGGAAACTTTTGAAGACGATAAGAGAGAGACTGGACACTGATCGTTTTGAAAAAAAAAAAAAGAAGAAGCCCAAATCCTGACAAATACCGGAGATTGAGAGAGAGAGAGAGAGAGAGAGAAGCATGCAGAGAGTCTCTTCAATAATAAATGAATGAATGGTACGAGAGGGACGAAGAGATCTCTCTTTCTTCCTTGCTAGAGAGTCATACAGGCGCGTGAGATAAGGCGCGTGGTGAGATTACGTCTATAAGTGCTCAGCGTCATTTTTTACTTTCCGTCCTTTGGTTTTTGTTGTTTCTTTTTTTTCTGATCCTTTGAAATTTCTTTCTCACCTTATCCACGTCATTTTCTTATTATAATAAAACTAAATTTATAGTTTTTCTTTTGGAACTAATTGATGGAATTTTTTCTTTTGGGACGAGAATAAGTTTATGCTCATGCTATTTGTCACTTTTATACAATGGTGCCGATAGACATGTTGCAAGATCTAATCAGGTTGTTGATTGTGCTTTTTTTTCTTCTTCTTAAAGTTTTTTTTTTTCTAATTTCTACTTTTTCTTGTAACAAATTAAGAAAACATCAAAGACATTTACTCAAACTGCAATTATATGGTTGATTTTTACTCAATCTTTATATATTTGACATGATCTAATA